TCTGGGCCTTACTACCTGTTACAAAGAAGATATCGAATAAAATGGATTACAATTAATCAAATCTATTTATAAATGTAAAATTGATGATAATATAACACTAAATCAATTAAGATTTCCAAAATATTAATTGGCAAAAATTAAATCATCTTTCATATTGGCAAATCTCCCACCCACAAAAGGTGCAGCAGAACAACATTGTTACAGCTTCAAACTTAGCTGGGTAACGAACTGACAGCAACAGATTGGGGCTGGAAGAAACAGTTTAAAATGTGGCTGCCAAAACATGGTTTAAAATGCACAAATTTATGCTCAAATTGTCATGGTTCTGAAAAATGCTCCAATGTGGAAGAAAAAACTTACGAGGAAGTTAATGATTCAGATGAAATTGTGGATGAAGAACCAATACAGAATGGAAATAATATTGGAGACGAAGACGGTGATGATCTTGAAGATTTCGAAGATCTACTAGAATTGGGTAGGTTTGTCGAATCTAACGATGAAGAAATGCCATTAAAGAGACAAAAACTAATGGATTAGTGATTAGAATTCAAGATAAGGTATTTATAAATAACAAGATTAATATATTTAAAAATATTATGATGAATATCGTAATCAATATAAAGTATCTAAATTCAATAGTATGATTTATAGCAGGGGCAGAAGTTGGAAAGGCTTTTGGTAGGTAGAGAGGGGGTAAACGTCAAACGGCTTCGAGAATTTCGCAGTAATGTTTACCTGCCAGTGTCGTTTCATAGAATAAGTAATTTTAAATTGTTACCAGTGGAACCGGACAATCGCATGTATTTATGGACTATAAATAATTATTAAACATGTATTATAATATCCAAAATTTAAATAGAATAGGATTTGTCGAGACGTAATACAAGTCATAAGATAAACCCAAACGAAGCACATAGAATTTGCGACACTGCGTAGTATTGTAGAACATAGATTTGTACTACGCACGCGCAAAAGCAAATAATTTTAAAGAATGAAATTTAAATTGTATAAACAGCGAAAATAGAAGGTTATTAACGCTAGAACTATGTTATCAGTTAACCAAAAGTGAGAAACCGAATGTATTAAGAGTGTAGGAATAATTACGTATGTATGTGGTTGAAAATATCTCAAGCATAGGGGGCAATTAAAAGGTCTGGGAAAGAAGGAAGGGAAAATAGTGACTGTGTGATCGCTAAAGTAGATAGCAGTAAGCTAGAAGAGAAACTGTCAGATTAAAAATGCATTGGGATTCAATACGGCACGTGTTGAGACGACTATCTTTGTTCCACAGAATGCGATTCTTATGTAATGTCTCTATTTGATTCGTTAGGTGTTGAGTTCGCACATAAGAATTCCTGTCCGGGTCACTAGAGTACAGATCTCTAAAATTAAGAATTAAATGACAGGTTAAATTAGAATTTAGAAATATTAACCGTTTTAAAGCGATGAACCAGAGAATACTTCGGTTATACCCTTTGTTAACCTTGAAATCACGTGACCAAAGCCCTAAATAGGTAACCGGTTATTGTAACGGAAGAAATTTTGACATTTAATTTCTAGGTTAATTTTTATTAGCTCTAAAGTTGAAATTGAGTGAGTTTTTTCTCGGTTTCTCCTTATGGACAACGATATAACACTACCTTGGTAGTGATGGCATGAATTTTAAGAAACTGGTCGGGATGTGATGTAGATATGGTTCCAAAAAAAAAATTGAAGACTGGATATCAGAATTTAATAAGAAACGGTGTCATCCTTTTTTTTCGCATTGTACCAGACACATTTGATAAATTACGTATATCTATATAAATAAATAATAGTATAGCTAATGTTAGTTTCAAATTTGACGGATCAGGTTCTATAATCTAACCAAAAAACACTAACTGCATGACACTGTCATTATTAACCCAAGTCTGAACTCAGGTATTTACCGGTTATAATTAATAACGTTTCAAAGGGCTTCAATATGACATCATAGAAAATAACCAAGAATAACCAACATCGCTTTTATTAAAATGGCAAATACCGCAAATTACTGGTTGATCCATCAAAGTATGTGGGTTGATTGCTTTAAAACGGTTATTGAGTCGTTACTATGAAGACTAAAGAGGAGGCGAATCGCTATACCCGAAATATGATCACAAAAAACGAACGCTAATTGAGCTTTTACAATTCACTGCAGGGGCACTGGTGTTGCAAGTGATGTTAAAAATGCAAGGCTTCTTATGGGAATTTTACATAAAAATAAACGTGTTTATTGCTAAATAAAGCACAGCAAATACTGTTGTATTTATTTCTAAATAAGTCTTGCATGAATTAATAAATTATTTTAATTTTATCTATATAAAATGCAAATTAGGTATGTCCAAAATCGAAAAGGTATGTTAAATTGTGAAATTTTGGCAAGTACCTACAATTTTGTGGATAGTTTGTTGAATTTTACCTAAATATAGTGCTAAGAACAAAATAAAAAAAGTTATAAGATTTTTTATTGTTATAATACAAGTATGAAGGGAGATTCTGGAATATAAATGGTACTGCCTCATTCTTTAATTTCGGCCTTCCCCTTTCTATTTTACTAACTGTACCATCAGTAAAAATAGTCTTATATTTGGAAATATCTTCTAAAAAGTGTAGCTCGCAAAAAGCATCATCTCTAGAAAGTGCTTTATCGGCCCTAAACGTTTAGGATTCTATAAAAAACATTTACAATGATAAAAAAGGGGTTCAACAAAAAAATTACATTAAAACTCTGAAAAAACAATTTTATTTTCTAGTAAGTTAAATTTAATGTGTAATTATTGTTGGTGTAATTCAGAATTTATGACTTTAAAATTTTATATTATAGAAATGTGTAATAAAATAAACTACACTCCGTGAGATACGGGTTGTGACGGGTTTACAATAAATATTATATTTAGAAATAAATACATTATTTTACTTACACTAGGAGCTTCAAAAACACTGAATTGATTTCTCCTTTTGTTTTCTATAATTTTTCATCTGATTTAAATATATCCCGTTTTACAACCTGGAACGAAGAAAATCTTGCTTTGATGTTTTTGTCACTCATGTTACTTGTACTCAGGTACTTTTTTCATATTATTTTGATTCTTTTCACCAATATTTCACATTGACTTACATAGAAAATAAACGTCAGTTACGAACGACCTGCCAACTACAGTCAATTTAGCGAACTTTGAAAAAGAAGGACGGTAATTTGACCATTGCCGATTCGTCTCCTTCTCTCTAGTTTTCATGGTCGTTACAAATTATTTAAGTACATGCAGACTTTTATTTGCATGCAATGCCGTTCATTTTATCTCCAAAAAAGGTTCTTACTTTTTTAACAAAAAATTAAGAGAATAAAAAAATGGTTATTCCGTGGTGTAAAAAATAGTGGCAAATAGTTGCCACTAACCTTGATATCGTGCCACTGGTTAAATGTTTGAAAAGTTGTTCCATGTCAAAATACTTTTTAAAGAGCACATTGGTCACCAATTTTGAAAAAAAAAAAACATATTAAAAGGCTTTTTGATGTAAGGCAAATTTTGATTTCAAACTTTTATCACCTTGTATCTCGGTAACTATAAGCTCTTCAAGGGTTCGTGTTCATATATCAAAATTCATAAATTAACGTGAGCTCTCTGGGATAGAGCGTTGTTGGTCGAATATACCAGCACTCTGTATATATAGATGGTAAAAAGAAATAATTACTTAACATATCTTTACTAAATGGATTCCTAAATATTACCCAGATACTTTTTTATAAATCGAATTAAATTATATTTTTTATTTGTGACTAAAACATTTAACATTAAAATTATTGATATTCAATCAAATTAAGAGTCCCTACTAAGTCCATTTTTGTTCGATTAGAAGACATCGATGGCGATATGTTTCGATAGAAAGTACCGATCCCATTCATTAGTGAAAACAACCAAAAACTCAAAATCCACACATATGAGCTTCAAAGTTAAAAACAATTATAGGCAACCCATTCTACATCATACAAATATCACAATTTTTCCAAATAAAGAGTCCAAAGCAAAAACGATGAATGTCATTAAAAGTTAATTCTCTGTAAATTTAATTTGAAACTAAAATGCAGTTTGAGCAGGAATATTAATTAAAATGAGTTAACTGCCATTTTGTGTAATATTTATTGGATAATATTATCTGAAATACGTCATGTCTTTGTTCTTATTCTTCTTGCACACTAGCTTTAGCCGTTTTTGCCCGTGATATTTATATTTTTGATAGGTACACCATTTTTTGTTTTTTAAATAACTCCATAACTAGATTTTTATTATTGTATAAACCAGTTCAGCATATCCTACAGACTCTCAGTTATTTTATCCTGTATTTAACTCATTTTTAAAAAAAAGTTATTTTCATCTTTTTTTGCTGTGTGCTCTTTAAATGAAGTTTTAAATTCTGGAAAAAACTAAAAAAGTATTTTATAGCTCTCATACAAATTTTAGATTCATAAAAGAACTGTGATTTGTCTCCCCCCCCCCCCAAGATTAAGTTTTGCTAAACTATAAGCTAAATTAGTGATAGCGTAATTTTGGATCCACTGACAATTACAGTGACAGTATTTTTTTGAGTGCGTTTTGTTTGCCTAAATTGTTTTTAAACTCTTATAAATATATTTCTAGATTAAGTAGATAACATGTATCAAGTATATAATCATTTAGAGTAACCAATTATACTACTTTCCCAATTAAACTACCTGAAAATGATATTCAATAAAAACATGTGTCAAATATTGTTTAAAGTTTGCTCAGAATTAAATGTCAGTGGAACCAAAATTATGTCACACTTTTACAGCGTATTAACATACAAAATCTTTATTAACTGCTATAACCGTAACAGTGCCAAACAATTTCCTTTTAATGTCAAATAGTGATAGTTATTTTGATAAATATTAGGCTGTATTGATGGTTGGCGATATAAGATATTTAACAATAAAAAAATATTAAAAAACAGCTTCGTAATGTTTAATTTTTCCAATTGGAATCAAAGCCGGCTGCTGTATCAGAATCGGAATCGTTGCAATGCATCGAATTGAACATTTTTATCGGAGTTTTTGGTGTGCCCGGTGTACTGGTGCTGCTTCCTCCGGAATCGAAGCTCTTCTTCGACTTTTTCTTCGTGCCGTAGTTCTTTAGAGTCCCTTCCTACAAAATAAAATAATTATTAACACAAAATGGTATTAAAATAGCAGTGGAAGACTGAAGACGTATTTAGCTTCTAATATATAGTACAAGCGCTTAGCGATTTTTCAATATGAGCTCTGAACACTAGGAAGTTATAGTGAAATTGAAATTGAAGATAACGGTGTGTGGAAAAAAGTCAGATACAAATGAAAATCAAAAAGAAAACTGAAAAGTACCCACAACACCTGCAACACAACGTCACAACAAAAATAAATGAAACTCGAAAGACAAGATAAAATGATAAATATAAATATTGTTTATTCTGCTTTACCTAAGGTTATTATACCAGAGTTAAATGCTACTTTCCTAGTAGATACAGGATCGGGCCAAAGTTTTCTTAGACCCGAACTCGCCCACAAAATTTATAAAGATTTTATTATACCGGAGAAATTTTCAGTACGTACACCTCATGCTACTTCTTTTCATGATAAAACAATGGTTTGTGGAATTTTTGATCTAAATCTACTATCAAAATAACAAATTTTCCATTTTTAAGCTGTGAATGTATTACAAAAACTACTTCGATAAAATGTAAACAAAAGTTTGTATTTGTGTACAAAATATAGGTTGCCTGCATGGTAGCGAGTGTTTAACCGGATTTATGACAAGTGAAAGATTATATCCCGAAAACGTCAGCGTAGTAAAAGCTGCGCGTCTTTTTCCCGCCCAGGGAGTGTCATTACTGCTAGAATACTTATAGGGGTCTATTCTGTAACAATTCCTTTATATTTAACGGCCTTTAAAAATATTGGCGGCCTATGAAAATAATGTTCGTATTCATTAATTTGCTTCTGTCATTATTTAAACAGATTTCTTTAAGATAGTCCTCTAATGTATTTTAAAGATCCGTTTAAATAATGACAGAAGTAAAGAAGAAAATATTTTTAAAGGCTGTTAAATATAAAGGAATTGTTACAGAATAGACCCCTTATACGGGGTCGAAACATTACCGGAATACAGATGACGCATAGGAGAAACACTTCGCGAACGCTTCGAGATTATTCCAGCAGGATTGGTTCTTTCTGGCCCGTTAAATTTTTATACAGTGAGAATCTTAAGTCTTACCCCCCCCCCCCCCCTAACTAACTCGTTACTGGAGTCTTGTTAGGAAAATCGCCGAGACAGGTCGATTTTTGTTTTCTACAATGTACATTTTTGTATGATTAGTTTACCCTTAATTTCATCCCTTACTCGAGGGGAACAACCCTTTCGAAAAATTTAAATGGCATGGGGTGGTGAGTGATAGCTCATTTGAAAGGGGGTTTTATTCTCTATTCAACCGTGCAAAAAAAATTTAAATTTGCTTCATTACGTGTTGATTTATTAATGTTTAAAAATAACAAAATCTCACAAAATAGGAAAGCAACTAAACTAATAGTGACCTTCTAACGGCAAAAAGTCGTCTGAACCAAAACCGAAATCATGCAGGGCCGAATTTTAATTCTAAGGATGAGTGTGCTACGTTAATTTCCGTTATTCTGAAACAAAAATTAGTCGAGAATTAATGAAGCAAATTTGAAAATTTTTTACATGGTTGAATAGAGAATAAAACCCTCTTTCAAATGAGCTATCACTCATATAAATTAATTAGTATATTATAGTTAAATTAAATAAAGTGTTTTAAATAAATAAGCTATGAACAAACGTTACATTATGTTGGTAATAACGAGTCCCAAACACATGCTAAATTTTAAGCGAATAAAACAAACGAGGTCCGAATAATAATGCATTTAAAAATAATCATAATGGTTAAAAACGGACATTGTCCGCTCATTAGTGAAAAAAAAAACGACGTTGTTCAGGCTAAATACAGCGATTTGCAAGTACTAAAACAATGTTGTCACCCAAATACTAACGAATTTTATGAAACATTGTTATACAGGTAAAAATCTCTTTATTTTAGGTTAGTTTTAAAATGAAAGTATTCCTTTTTAAAGTTATTTGTTACATTTATTTTTTTTTTCAACCTGATTATACCATTCTTAAGTTTAAATTTTTTTGTAACATCTACACAGTAATAAATTACGTTAAACCATAAGAATACTTCATTAACAGCCGCATCAGTCTACGAATATATTCCAAGTTGTTAGTCACGAAAGTTTTGTCACTGAGTCTCTTAGAAAAAACCATTTTGTCATAATAAAAGGTAAGTTTTAGCGATAAAAATAAAGTGTATAGCGTACTTATTGTATTTATATTTGCTAGATGGAGAAAAAAAGAATATTCGATCTTTCTGTAGAAGAAGATGCAGGCTATTTACGGCAGCTGGCTTTGAAGTCCGATGATGAACTTTCTGAAGCCATCGACAGCTATGAAGATGAAGCAGACTACTTGGAGGAACAGTTGGAAGTATGAGATTCAGATATTGAAGAAGAGTTGGAAGTTGAAGAAACAGATTATGATGACGATAAACTAGGTTACGAGGTGTATGGAAAGGACAAGAAGACAAAATGGCGATTGATCATGTCACGAAAGAGATTCCACTTTCTACTGCAGACTATAAGATTTGATGATAAGAAAACACAAAATAAGAGGAAAACCACGGATAAACTTGCGCCAATTAGAACATTATTCGAGATGTTTGTTCAACATTGTCAAATGAATTATTCTGTAGGGGAGTTCGTTATTATCGATTGAAATGCTGGCGGCGTTCAGAGGAAAGTGCCCCTTTCGACAATATATACCCAGTAAGCCATCTAAATAAAGGTATTATCTATTGCAGATTCCAAGATGTTCTATACTGTTAATTTGGAGGTTCACTTGGGAGAACAGCCAGGTGGTCCGTATAAAGTTGACAACTCTAGCAGTTCAGTAGTAAAAAGACTCTGTGCGCCAATTAAATGTAGTGGACGAAACATTACCACAGATAACTGGTTTACCAGCTATGTAATGTTGGGACTGTAAGAAAAAATAAGCATCAAATACCACCAAGTTTTGTATCATGTCGAGGTCAAGAACCGTTTACATCAAAGTTTGCTTTCCAAGAGAACTTGACAATTGTTTCGTATATCCCAAAGAAAGGCAAAAATGTGATTCTGCTATCTAGTATGCACAATGATGCTGCAATAGACTCTACACTGGTGATAAAAATAAACTTTTTTTTTTTTTTTTTTTTTTTTTTTTTTTGGCTTGGGCACTTGCCATTCAGCCAGTCGCGGAATAAATTATATAAGTTTAAATTGCATTATCACTCTAAATAACATCCATTCAATCATACACACTTACACACTTTTGTCCTAAGCAAGAAAAGAAGAAAAATATATAACAGAAGATAAGGCAAGCAAGGAATAAACAAAGGAAAACATTTCTTCTTGTCTAGGGGCCCGTCAAGACATTTATTTTACACACAAAACTAGGCCACGGAAAGGTAGGTATATAACAATTGGGTTAGAACATAGGTTGCAAGACTAATATTAATTACAAACATACTTTACTTTCATACACAAATTTTATCAAGAGGTCGTAAATTTTTGTTTGATTAAGTGAGAGGAGATGGCAAATGTTAAATGGAGGAAATACATTATTTTTAATTAGATAAACCTGAAATATCATTTTTTTATTGATAGAAAATCAGGAGTTATAATTGTAGATAAATTGTGTGTCACGTATTCGTCTTCTAGAAACACTAACCGTTGGCCCATGGTATTGTTCTACATGATGCTAGATTTAGGGGCAATTAATGCCCATGTTGTTTACAAAGAGAATCAAAATCCCGGTTTAGTGATAAGAAGACGTTTTATAAAATCGCTGGCATTGGAATTAACAAAAGAGCATATTCAGAATCGCTCAAACCTAACTTGTTTGCCAAAGGAAATAAAAAAACGTACTTCTGAAATTGCAGCAGAAAAGAACAAAATTGGAGAAGTGATGGGCCTACAATAATATTACACCAGAACAAAGAACGATTGAATAATTTAAAAAGAAGATGCCACATTTGAGAAAGGAAGAAGAATCGAATGACCAAATACATATGTAAAGTTTGCGATGAACATGCTGATTGCGTTTGTAAAAATTTACACTAATTTTATTAAAAGCAAATTATAAAGCGTTTTTTTTTGTATCTATTTCTAGATATATGTCAGTTCAAATATATAAACTGAGAATTTAATTTTGTATTTTTTTTTTATAAATATGAATAAAAGTGTCAGAACCATGCATTTCTAGAGATTCATTAGAGCAAAATTAAATGAAACATGCAAAAACAAGATTGTGCCTCTCAGGCGCAACGCGGGTGACTATGTTCTGAAATTTGGAGCGAGCAGCCGAGGGTTAAAAATATTAAAGTGCAGTTTTATTTATTTTTATGACTGTAACATAAGATTTGGTAATAATATTAATTAAAAACTCAATTTTCTCAGTAAGTCAGTTTTGTAACATCGTCTGGTTTTTCCCCTTACATTTCATTTGTTAATAAGAAAAATAGATTATTGAGGGGAAAGTTCATAATTATTAACTTGGTCGTATAAAGAACTTACTTTGTTGACATTATCAACTGATCCCCATCCTTTAAGTAGTTTTTCATCGACCGAATCCAGTGGCGTAACGCTGGCTCCGCTTCCCACTCCCAGAAAATTGCTGAAAGCTTCTGTGGTCTTCTTTACTCGCACGTTTAAAGATCCGATCCTCAAAAATCCTTCTTTATCTAAAGAAATTGAAAAATAAAAATAAATAAGAAATATAACAAGTTTTGTATTCCGTATTTACTTATGTACGTCATATTTACAACCACGAGTAAAAGAATAGTCAATTTCAATACGATTAAGTTAAAAATTATTAGAAAAAAAATATATTTATATACAGGGTGTTTCATATGGGATGGTAGATATTTTTGGTAATATGTATTATGCTTTTTATGATTGCAAAACTTGAATTTAAAATGAAAAAAAAAAAAAAAAAAAAAAAAAAAAAAAACAACGGAATAAAAGTGCCTCCTGTAGATTTATAATTGAATAAAGCTTTATTTTTCAAGAAAAAATTAAAATTTTTATTATTGGCCACTGAAAAATGTACAAAGCACTTATTTTTATTAGAGTAACATCACCCTGTATACACAAATATTACCTCAAAAAAAAAAAAAGAAATTTGAAAACAAAATATATTTTTGGATTTTTTCCCAAAATCAATATATTTTATTTACTTATTCCTTACTTTTGACTAACATCGTATTAAAAAATGGTAGAAAATGCGAAAAGCTCGCGTCGAAAGCTCTTTACTCACCTGATTGCTTTTTCCTTCCCTTTATCTCTGCAAAAAATAAAATTAACGAAAAATTAAATAGTGTTCTTCAATAAAAAAAATTGACCAGGTAAACATGCAGCACCATAGGAAAATAATACCCAAACTACATAGTGTGGAATTGACAGTTTTAAGTGCTACACCTACACATATCAATTAAATTTAATATAAAAAAAAGATTAAATTGGAACATCAGGAAGGTAACAAAAAATTAAGAACAAAATAATAAAAGACACAAAATTAATTTCATCAATTTAATCATTGAATCCTTGTAATAAATTATACAAAATCGATACATTTTTGTTACCTAAACTAATGATAGCTACTACTTACAATTATTACTTTATATACCAAAACAATTAAGTACCTACCGAATATCCTACTATATAAAAGGTTCTGTCACCATGAAAAGTGTGTTAAGTAGTGGTAAAAGCATAATTAGTTTCAAAATGTGATGGAATGTAAAGGAAAGCTACTTATAATAGTTACTAGCTACGAGTCTGCTTTTTAAGATGATTTCCTTGGTACACATTTTCTCTTTCTTTCAAATGGAAATACATGTAAATATAACAAAAAAATAAAGGTTTTTTTTTCAAAAACAAATAAAACTTCTTTAATACGATCGTACAATCGGAATTTTTAAACCTTTTTACATAGAAATAACAATGGTATTTATTTTTACAAGAAAAAAAAAACGATTTATCAATTTATTAGTAGTAGTTAAAAGGAGATGCAACAGATCCGTTAAAAAAAATGTGACTGCTTAAAACCACGCTAATTTGTGCATCACACATAAAGAAGGCGTGACATCACAAAGTAGGGCGGCGCATACAAACATTTTTCAATCATTGAGATAAAATAAAGAAAAGAATCTATGACGATACTAAAAGTCTCTGCACTTTTGCATTACACTTTTACATTACACTTTTACGTCAAGAATAAATGCCATTTTTTTAAAACAGTGTTATTTAAATGATATAAAAACATGTTCTTTCTGTCAATCTTCAAATATAAAATTACTAACTTCAAATTAATCAAAATACAACTCAAATTGCGTACGCTTGTCATATGGCAAAATAGTGTTTATGTCGTCTCTAATTCATTCTATCTCGATGTTTCCAGTCAAACTGTCAAAGTCTAAAAATCGCCATAAGACAATTTTAATTGTGTTTATTTTAAAATTGTGTTTAAATAAAACTGAAGCTTTAATAAATCGGGTATTAATTCAACGATTTTTACAGAAAAACGTCTTTAAGGTAAATCATTTACTATTATTTTAAACATAAAAGTATTTTTGAGGTTATGCTGTTTGTATATTTGCAATTTTACAATAATTTAGTTTTGTGAGGGTAATTTTGTTTTTTGTTCCAGTGTCTTAGACTACTTCAGAATAGCCATGTGGGTCTCTTTTATAGGAAAATCCATACAATTTATGTGATGACTGGGTTCTATCAAGAAATGGGCTCTTATATAAAGTACCTTATTTTAAACAGATATTAGATTGCAGTTGACAGCCAAGAAAGATCATTGTATCAGAAGATATTTCAGAAGTATGACAATTTTACTGTTTTATTTGAACTAGGATAATTTCTTGAACGTAGACAATTTTATGTGAATAATTGTCATATTTTGAAGGTTGTCTCTAATTAATTTGAAGTTATAGAAATATGCCCTATCTATAAATGATAGAGGTAAGGATAAACAGTGTCAGACTGATGTAGCAGTAATGATTTTACTCAAATGATGGTTTTCGCTTGCATCTACAAAAAAAAAATGGAAGCTAAGAAACTAAATAGTTGTGTCTATGTTAGGTATGTACCCCGGTGAATATTTTACAGGTGTTTCCACTCTTTTTAAAATATGGCAACAAAAACTGAATAGTATATAAAACATCCACCAGATACCGGTAAAAATAAAAACAAATAATGACTGCGAAATGTTAGAAAAATTCAGTTCATTTTATCTTTATCGAGTAAAAAATACGTCTGTATTTTTTTTTAAATAATGGTAATTTATTAATGTCTACTAATCATACTCTATGTAACAAACGAAATGGAAAGTGAAAACGAAAAGAAAAATACTATACTACATACTTATAATAATAACCACCCCTATATTTCATCAAAACAAAGTGAGAAAATTACTATTTTTCATTATTTTTAGTGTACAAGACAATAATAATTAAATAAGGAAGGTAGTGTGTATTCTTTCCTACAAAATTGTAAATATTGTTGAAATAGTTTTTGAAAAAATAAGTGTTAAGTGCCATTTTGATGTTATGTTTACAGAAGAGTAGGTATTAAATTATAACTGCCACATTTTAGATAATTAATAAACACATTCCAAAGATACATGCTTATTTTGTTATCAGTCCTAAAATGTACACATATACATTTAAAAAATTGAAAACACCTTTATTCGTTTCTTTTCTTTATCTACAAAATAATATAAAAGCTTATAAAAGCAATTACTATCGTCTTTATTATTTTATTTCTACATCGTCCACTCCTACTTTTGATATCTAAATTAAAATTTGACATCAGTACATCCAGGTACATCATTCATATATAAGATCAACAATAACTAGACAAGACAAAAACTAGACCTCAACAAAGATGAAAGAAGCATTACTTTAAACTAACAACAATAAATAATATTGCAAAATGATTAGTTTTAAATAAAATACAATTATATTTGTTCGTAAATATATGTCATGCTCCGTGTCAACTCATCTAAACCTTTCCATGTGTGTACTGTTAATACGCCTGTCGGCCCAGTAGTCATTTCCTGTTTTTAAAATTACCGCTATTTCCCGTGCCAATGCGTGGATGAAATTGTTACTAGCCGTTAGCCGGCAGAATGAAAAGACTCTCGAAACACGTTGTATGTTTGTACAAAATATGTAAATTTGCTGTATTTAAAACCAAATAAAGTGTTTATATAAAATGGATCAAATAAATATTATTAATTAAAGTTGATACAATCCACAAAGAGCCAAGAATAAACACCATGTATAGTCACAATTAAAGTTGATAAAAAAAAAAAATATAACACTATGTTCAATAAACTTACGAGTTAAAGAACACTTTTTAACTCCCACGTTAATCGTACTATTTATAGATGCATGTTGGAGGTATATGACACTATCTCATAGAACATTTGTTACCAGAACATAGAAATATGTTACAAAACCAACAATTCATGTATATTAAAAAAAAGTTTTAATAGTAAACAATACATATTGTGACAATAATTAGAGCTAACTGCATTTCATGTCAAAATATAATTAATATACAGGGTGTTTCATAATATATGCGCAGGACTTCAGGACGTGATAGCTCGTCCAAAAATATGAAAAAACGTTTCTATTAACTTACCCTCTAAAATGCACCATTTTCGAGATACAGGGTGTTAAAATAGAAAAAAAATTCTACGCCACTAGAAAAAGTACGGTTTTGAGACGCCCATTTGAACCGCCAATGTTTTCTACACAAAAAAGATACTCTTGGTCATACGCTCTAAAGTCGACCGTTTTCGGGAAAAATCAAATTTTAATGTTGAAATACATGGTCAATTTTTGGAAATAAAACTTTTTTCTTAGTAATGAAACAACATTTTTAAACGTTAGAACAAGTATCAAGTAACAAAAGCAAATGTTAACTTCATAATTACAAAATTAAAAAAAAAAAAAAAAAAAAAAAAATCATAAACAGTTAAATTAAATGTTCGAAATGTCCGCCGTTAGCTTCAATGCACGCAGCAATTCTTCGACGCATTGACTGTCTAACACGCAGGAGAATTCCCGAAGTGTTCCGAATTATGTCGCAAGATGCAACAATGCGCTCTATTAATTGGTCAACATTTTCAACTGGAGTAGCGTAGACTATGGTTTTGAGATGGCCCCAAAAGAAAAATTCTAAACAAAGGTCGGGAGATCGCGGGGGGCCAAGGGTGTGGACCTCCTCGACCGATCCAACGGTCTTGGTATTCGTCGTCCAAGTATTGGCGAGCAAGCAAACTAAAGTGGGCCGGAGCTCCATCATGCATAAAGTACATGTTTTGCCTTACGTGAAGCGGTACATCTTCCAGCAACTCCGGCAGTACTTCTTCTAGAAATTGTCGATAATCTGCACCGTCTAATCTGTTCGGCAAAAAATATGGTCCTATCAAATTGTCACCGACGATGCCAGCCCAAACATTCACGGAAAATTGTTGCTGATGACGGCGTTCTGCAATTTCATGTGGATTTTCTTCAGCCCATATGTGGTTATTGTGAAAATTAAAAATACCATCTCTCGAGAAAGATGCTTCATCGGTAAACAGAACTTCGGCTCCAAACCGAGGATTTTGAGCTATTTTGTCTTGCATCCATCTACAAAAAGCCAATATTGGCGGAAATTTTCTTGGCAATAAGGCTTGTACTCTTTGGATATGATAGGGATACAAAAGTTGTCTTTTCAAAACTGTCCACACCGTCGAGTGAGATAAGTTTAAGTTGTGAGCTATTTGTCTGGTACTTGTGGTCGGATTTTCTTCAATTTCGTTGAGGACAGCCTCTTCTTGGGGAATTGCAACTTCCATAGGCCGCCCACTATCAGCAGTATTCTTTTTAAAACTTCCATTTTCCCATAGTCGTTGGTAAATGCGTTGAAACAAGTTATGGTGTGGTACTTGGCGATCAAGATGTCTTTCTTGATACAACCGCCTTGTTTCTGCCGTATTACCTTCCGCCAATCCGTAAAGGTAATGCATTTCGCACATTTCAGCGTTTGTGTAATTCATTTTGAATTGTATAATACAAATTTATCTTCTGCAGACACAAACTAATTGTTATTTTGACAGGAGGTAACTTTTGTTTTGAAATTTAAAACCTACTTGATGAAACAAAATTTGATTTTTCTCGAAAACGGTAGACTTTAGAGCGTATGACCAGGAGTACCTTTTTTGTGTAGAAAACATTGGCGGTTCAAATGGGCGTCTCAAAACCGTACTTTTTCCAGTGGCATTTTTCTTTTTTTTTTTTTCAATTTCATCACTCTGTATCTCGAAAATGGTGCATTTTAGAGGGTAAGTTAATAGAAACGTTTTTTCATATTTTTGGAGGAGCTATCACGTCCTGAAGCCCTGCGCATATATTATGAAACACCCTGATGGAGCACAAAATGTCCAAACATTCAGTCTGCTCTACTAAAAAGTTGACTAGAATGACAGTGCAGTTTACTTCCGAGGTACTAATATACATATTAAATAATTTTTAAAACTTTATCATTCTTTTAATGTACCTATTCTTTAGTCTATTATGTTATTATGATATTGTTTCAGCCTTAATTATATTATTATTATACTCGGCACACAGTATTCTGTGAAGAGTATTATAGATTTACTTTGTCCGTCTGTCCGATGTCATGTTTTTTGTGTCAGCACAATAAGTCAAAAACGGAAAGTGATATCAAATTGAATTTTTAAGCAAATATCAAGCTCTGTAAGAAGACAAAGCCCATTGATTTTGAAAAACATCTGATAAAAAATAGGGGGTTGAGGAGGGTTAAAATTAAAAAAAAACTGAATTAAAAACGAAAAGCGAAAAGCAACATGAAATTTTTAATAAAAATCAACCTCTATAAGAAAATGAAGCCTATTGATTCTGAAAAAAATTTGAATAAAAGTGGGGTTAAAGGGGGTCAAAATATTTAAAAAACAATATCAACTTGAAATGTTTGTAAAAATCAAGCTCTATCAAAGCCTATTGATTTAAAAAAATATAAACAAAATGGGGTCAAGGGGGTTAAAAAAAATAGAGATTAAAAACTAAAAGCGATATCAACATGAAATGTTTAGTATAAATCAAGTTCTATAAGGGAATGAATACATGAATAAAAAAAAATGAGCAGATAAGAAGGGTTGATATATTGAAAAAATCTTCAGGAAAAATCAAGCTTTATAAGGGGACGAAGTATACTGATTCTGAAAAAACTGATTGAAAATGGGGCTTAAGGGAAGATTATAACATAGAATACTTAGCATTATATATCTTTATTTTAGTTTGTGTCTGTGTTATATATTGTGATGGGACTGATCTTATAAAATAAACATTTAAGTTCACTTGTTTTATTTGCCAATAAAAGGTATTTAAAAAATATATTATTTTACTTGACATTTGTTACAAATTGTGAAAATTAATAAATTTGCAATAAAAACTGAAAAACGGTAGGTAAAATTTCATATAATAATACTTATTACACAACCTGATAAATATTCAAAAATAATCTTAAAATATGAAGAAAAATTAGCTGACTATAACTAATAATAGATGGTTTTCAATGTATTAAAAACAAAACAAATTCAACAATAATAAAATAATTCATTTATTAATAGTTGAAGTGTTTGAAAAGAGTATGATATTAATAATAATAACTATAATAAATAAAAAAAAAAACAGTGATACACTCATAATTTTGAACCGAACTAACAAATGATAAAATTATTTGAAAAACACACATTTTAAATTACAAGCCGCAAATGCTTCTTAAATTTAATTTTTACATTGGTATTTTTTAATTCTGTTAAAACTCTTTTTGTTTCCCTCTTAATTTTGTTAAACCAAATATTGATATGTACTTTGAATAAACAGACACTATTAAAAAAAAAAAAAAAAAAGAAAATGTCTACAAATTTGTAATGTCCCTCAATTATAAAAAAAATAAATTGTGATTTAAATAAAAACTATAACTGACCGATCATAACAAAGAAGTTCTATTTGTTGTTTTTGAAATACGGTCAGAAAATTAACCTCTTTCTAAATATTAATGATGTCATAGTTCTGTAAAATAAGAGAAGAATAAAATTTAATCAAAGGAGTTTCATAAATTTTTATGCCTTTCATTTGAGGCACACTGTATGTATAACAGGATAATAATAGTTGCATCAGAAACAGTCCTACACATGAGTCATTTCTGGAGCATTCTGGTCCCATTTACGAGGGAAATACAACAATGTTACTCAAATTTCTAAACAATCTATAAATTTTTATAAACTGGGAGGATTTTCCGTAAGAAAAAGAGAGAAACGTTGCAGAAGGAGTAAAGGCATCTCTAGGCAGTGATGTAGGTGAGAATAATACATATTTAATTAACAGAGCATAAGAAATTGATTTTATGACTAGTAATACTTATAATAATACTGTAAAAATTGATCTAAATTCTAACAAAAAATGTGATTATTAAAACAAAAATAAAAATAGTACGGATATTTTTAAAAAGAAAAAGATATATAGCATAATAGATTGATTAAATTAGATATTGTGCGTAAAAATTATTTCAGAAAAATTTCATTAAGCATATAAATAGCAAAATCGCCCAGTAATGTTAGGTTTAATATAAAAAAACACCGCTTAATAATTCAATCCAGAAATAACGGGCAATAATAGAACGTCAGAAATTAGCAGAAAATATTGCTTAGTTGCCATATGCAATATTCAATACATACCCTCAAGGAAATATTTTTTTTTGTCTCGTAACCACCGACAGATGACCACCTGTTATATTCAGATTCTATTAAAATTGAATTTTTATATACATCTTTGTGATGATGTTTAACAGTTTAACAGTTTATCGCTTTCTAGGTTATTATAAAAAAAAGTTTTCATATATTTTAATCCTCTAGTGTAAATTCATTTGAGTACATAGGATTTTTTTTATTTGGTGACATTTTTTTGACAAAAATATATTTTGGCGCCCAACGTGGGGATTGAAATTACGAATCAACAAAAGAAACTTACTGACTTTTGACACGTTTAGGCCATCATAACAAGAGGTGTGGATAGACAAAAATGCAGCTACTATCTAACATTACTGGTCTAGAAACTATTTATAAAATACTCAAAATTAGGTTTTACAATTGGTTGAATTCGACCGTGGAGGGACCGCTGATAACTTTGGTGGGCGCTGAAATGGTTTTGTTGCGAAAGCTCTTACTCCTAGATTTGCCATGCCGATACTTTTGAGAACCATACTCACTGCGCATCGTTACGATCTGGCCCTGTTTTTGCTCCTTCGCCAAAAAGTAGTAGTCCGCCGTGCGGCCGCTGTAGTCGCGCATGCCTGGATCTGCTTCTATAAAAAAATGTATATATATTTTCCAAAATGTAACTGAGTAGGCTGTCAGTAAACTAAGAACTGTTAAAGGTGCGTTAAGTGAACAGTAGAAAACTTCTAGCCAAAAAGAAAATCGACCTAAATGATTAATCAGCTGATTGGTCAGGGTCAGACAGAACTGTCGAGAAAATTTGTCTGATTCTGGTAGTTAAAACTGTCTAATAAATGGTTACTGAATTTGCACACACAAAAAAAGAATATTCCACAATTTAATAGAGATATTGCAAATTTCTATAACGATAGCCACTAACAGTGTCAACGTAATTAGAGGCAAATTAATTCCATGCTAAAATGAAACTTATTGCAAATTTGAAGTTAAAGAGTTCTTGTCCTTATACACATTTCTAACCTCGTTTTAAAAACTTTAAATCACAGTTCATCTTTGTTGTTGTCATAATAGTACATAAAATGAAAGATTCATTAGAAATGGTAATTTTTGGCTATTAAGATGAAGATGATATTAAATATTCTGCAGCGCAATACGTTCAAGCAGGTGCCTATTCATTTATAAACCTTTCAGTGGCTTAGCGAACACGGCTTCGAATCCTATATTGTAACTTATACTGTAACTTACATTGTAACTTACATTGTAACTTACATTGTAACTTACATTGTAACTTACATTGTAACTTACATTGTAACTTACATTGTAACTTAATGAATTAAGACCGATTTAACATTATTGTTGAATTAACTGAATTAAATTCATGATATGAAGTTATTCTCAAATAATTATGAACAGTCACTTTTGACAAGATTTTAAAAAACTATTTTAAATGTTTATACTTACTATAAACTTCTATCAACAGCTTAAATACATCCTTGTGTCCAAATTGTGCCGAAATATGTAGTGGTGTGTATCCCTAGAAGAAAAATATCATTAAATCCTAACCAAGAATGAAAATAATGAAAATCTGATGTGGCTGACACATGACTTTCCTGTCTAGTTATACAGGCTTTTTCCGGTTATTTTGTGCAACCTATTGTATCATCCCTGTAAATGTTTAGACGATAAACTAACTACATATATTTTTTAATAGATATTCATTGCCAAAGAAAATACTAAAAATTTTAAATTTTACATTTTTCCTCAAATTTTTCCATAACGGTCCATTTTAGAGAAATCACGAATGAAACAAAAATTATAGAAAACGATATCGCAAACAACTTTTAATTGATGAATTTTCTTCTTCAATCGTAAATAACAGAGATATTCCTTAAAGTAAAAAAACGACAATCTATAAACCCCAGATGCTTCGACTATGCCCAAAATGTAATCAGCTCACCGCAATACGGATTAAAGCTTAAGTTTAAAACTGGGTGTTTTTCTGTATTTACCGTTCATGATTTATCGAGAATACACACACATACATCATAGCGAAAATAGTTAAAGCAGATTAAGGGGATCCAAAAACGTAAAAATCCGTCGAAAACTCGAGGCAAAAAAATCATGATTTATATACTTCCCTTAAAGTAAAATAACGAGTATTTGATAGAAATTTAACAGGTTTTTCATTTAATTAGATGCACTTAGTTTGAGGTTTTCTATTTTACTTTATTTTGTGCAAACTTCAGCTACCTAACCAGAAATCATAAAATTTCACACCCACCTTATCGTGGAGAACGTGTTTTAATTTGGCAGATACAAATTAGTATCATTAACGTTGTTCGTAAGACTGATTTTTTTAAAGTTTTTATATTTAACTTTTGATGAAAGATCGGTCAAACTCGGTAGTAAGTATAAGTAAGTAAGCAGGTGCATCGTCTCCAATTATGGAACAGATTGCTTATCTGATCGTAGCCGAATATAAAAATTACAATTTATTTTATTTTTGGGGTTCGTCGTGTCAAAATCTGCCATGAGAAATTCAGTGCTGGCATAGGCGGCACGATTAGGAAGATTTTTTTATTGAGCTATTTCTTCTTGCTGCTCCTTTACAGAAGCTCTGCAAATCCTACTTGCATCTGCAAATATTAGTTGTAGTTGAAAAAGAGAAACATGGTATTACAGAATCGTGTTTTCACTTTTTGCGTCTGCAACTCATTAGTAACTTTGCAGGAGGTTAGAACATCCTACAAACTTGCAAAAGGTCAATTTTTACTTTACTTTTTCTTTTTTAATAATGAAGTCTTCTGTTCCTTTTATTGAATACAGTTCGTGCTGTCAAATTATCGAGTTTTTAAACATAGCAATGGATTTGAGTTTAGTATTGTTGGGTGTAATATTCCTGCAAAGTTGTCGCCGTATTTGCAGATCTGCAAAGTTGCAGACGTTCTGTAATCTCACCCTACTGATATTGCAGGGCTCTTTCACATACATATATTTAACAAGAATAACTTACTACTTTGTTCGAAAAGACGGTGGTACAGATTTTTCTATCTCAAAATTGTAAGCAAGTCCTTTTTGGAGGTAAAAAAGCATTATGGACCCATTGAATTGACTCTAATTTTTGTTTCCGAGCCCCAATGACTTGAAAATTGAAAACTTTTATACCCAAGTAGTTATTATTTGAGTGTCAATAATTTTTTCGACTTTCTTACAAACATCAGCAATGTTGGAACATTTTCAATGGAGTTGCGACGGTTAATTTACATTTTCATTCTTTTGTGAATATTTTTTGACCCATACGGCAGATATTGGCATTAAATTATGTAGGATTGGAATATGTATTCTTGACGACAGAAGTAACTGATAAAATTAGGATTATTTCGCTAACTATAGTTATTTTATATACAGGGTGTACCAATAAAAACTCCCAGGCCGGATATTTTGGTAAGTAATAGAGATATTTTAATTTTGTGAAAGCCAATTTATAGAGCGCTAAGAGAGCTTCAGTTTTAGATATAAATTAATTTTAAATAGGTCAATATGTAGATGGCGCTGCGCTCAATAATTGTTTTTCGATGGGAGGATCTTTCTTATGTAGCGCATCTGGTAATAACTGCATTTTTAAGCAAATTTTGTTCTATGAACTAATTTGATAAATCTAGCCATTTTTGATATACAGAGTGGGTCATTCAAAACAGTTTCATCCTGTTTTTCGGTATTAATCATTGGATTTTTAGAAAATGCTAAAACAGGTCGATTTTTATTCTAAATTAAACACATTTTTACAATACAGGCATCTGTCATGTGTCAACCCCCTCCCTTTCACTTCTCCAACCCCTTAATTTTAAATTAAATTAAAAAGGTAATATTATGGGGAAGTCAGAAATATGACAGTTTATTGCGATACTTTTAATTTTAGCGACCTTTATCGGGATAAAAAAATCTGTAACGTATTATAAAGTGTGACACTTCATTTGAAAGCTAATTTAATTACTGATTCAATGCATCACATAACATTAATATAAATATTTCTATATTGCACTTGAAACAAAATAAAGTTAGCAATAATGTTCAAAATAATACATGACTAATTTTAAAACTATTGCAAGTGCAATTTGTTGGATGTTTATATTAATGTTATGTGGTACATTCAATTAGTAAGCAAATTTGCTTTCAAATAAGGTGTCACACTTTAAAATACGTAGTTTTTTATCCCGATAGAGGGCGGTATAATTAAAAGTATCGCAATGAATAGTCATATTTATAAATTTCCCATAAAATTACCTTTTTAATGATGTACTACAAATTGTAGTATCACACTCCATAATATGTAGTAATTTTTTATCCCGCTAGAGGTCGATAAAATTTAAGTAACGCAATGTACAGAAATATTTCTGAATCTCTCATTAAATTACCTTTTAAATGATGTGCCATACATGGTACATTACTTATTTAAAATTAAGGTGTGGAGAAGTGAAAGGGAGGGGGTTGACACATGACAGATGTCTGTATTGTAAAAATGTTTTTAATTTGAAATAAAAATCGACCTGTTTTAGCATTTTCTTAAAATCCAATGATTAATGCTGAAAATCAGGATGAAACTGTTTTAAGTGACCCACTCTGTATATCAAAAATGGCTAGATATATCGAATTACTTCATAGAACAAAATTTGCCTAAAAATTCATCTTTAACAAGATGCCCTACACAAGAAAGATCCTCCCATCGAAAAAAAAAAACTATTGAGCGCAGCGCCATCTACATATTGACCTATTTAAAATTAATTTATATCTAAAACTGAAGTTCTCTTAGTACTCTGTGAACTGGCTTTTACAGAATTAAAATATCTCTATTACTTACCAAAATATCCGGCCTGGGAGTTTTTATTGGTACACCCTGTATACAAATTTAAATGGACATAGTTTAAAACACCCCCATACTCAGCATTTAATATTAATCGTTTTTTTTTGGGGTAATTTCAAATCAAAGGTGTGCATTGAGGAAATTAATACCCGGTTATTTTGAATGTAGGTAACATTAGAAATAACCCAGAAATGATTGAAAAATCAGTGTAAAAATATTTTAAAACGTTCTCAGAAGAATATTGTCGTGCTAGTTCATTTTATTATTCTAGTAATTGTGCCTACGGTTCTGTTAGCTAGTTCGTTTTGTTCATAGTCATTAAATAAGAAATTCTAAAATATTCACAACTTTTGATTCTACGAACCCGGTCCTGTCAGATTTCTAAGATGGGTACCTTAATTAATTCAAGAATAAAATTTTTGATTGCAATACTGTAAGTGTATTTATTTATAATTTTAAAGTTAAAAATTGACTGTAAGAAAGTCATGAACGTGTCATCAAATATTACTACATTAATAATTTAATAATTTATCCATGCACTATTTAAATGCCAATTAACATTTAGTAAAAAAACGATATTTTAGGTAAGAATAGCAATATGAAATAAAAGGAGTTCGGTCCTGGAGTTTTTCAAAATTAAAATTGTAGTCGTTAAAAAAATGGCCAACTATAATTTTGTTTGCGGCCCAAAATACTACTATGAAGGGGCTTTTTAAATTTTAAAATCTTAAGCGGAATGCGCAAAAATATTAATCGGTCACTGCGTTAAATATCACGTTAATTTTTAAATAAACATTTGGAATCCATCGGGTTACTGTAAAAACAAGATAACTCACATTTTTAGATTTTCTAGAAAACGGTATTCAAAAGTTTAAAATTGAATAAAAAATCAGAAAAATCTTGAAACTGTTTAATAAACAATAACTCCAATGAAAAAAAGGTATTCAAAACATAATTAGTCTTCACAAATATTAAAGTAACAATCCATCGATTGATAAAAAAGTCACTTAGCTTATTTTAGCTGTCTACTTTCAGGACAAAATATTCAATGTATGTGTCACTATCTTCAATAGAAGATTCAGATACCGTGTCTTTACCTTTATTGGATACAGGTAGATTGTAATAATAACGGTGAAATTCATCACGTGTAGCACCTGATTTGCAAAGATTTAGTAAATCTTTTTTCTTGCACTTTTTGTATTTTCAATGCTATTTTTTTCACCCTTTCAGACATCCCTCTATTGGTTTTTAAAAGTTAGCTGTATCGCGGAAAGAGAGGGTGACGTAATCACCTTGTCAATTTCGGAACAATCGAGAAAGGCCAGAGACGACTCTAGGCAAAATGTTGAAGTATTTCAACAAATACATTCAACAAAAATAAGTGTTCTGGCCTTAATCTTGTTTTGGCAGAAATATATATATACTATTAGGAATCACTATAAATACATATAGCAAAATATGTCTCTTATCTGGACACACTATTAGCAATTGAACACAATGTTATGATCATGTTTCGGTATAAATGTCACTAATCTTGTTTGTGCATATTTTGAATGTATTAATATGGAGTTAGTTTTTATCATAAATATAGACTTCGTTCCACTTGTTTGTTGTTTATACCGTATATTATTATTTGAACTATTTTGTAAACGAAAGTGTACTTAACTCGAAAAT